CATCACGGCCGTCAAAAGGAAGTGATAGCCGAGGCTATTTGAGCCACTTCCCCGACGGCAACTCGGATGGTAATCTTGGGCATAGCATTTCACCAAATCACCTCATTCTTTGGGGCACACGTGAGGAACACAAATGCGAACAAGCCTGAATGGTCCCCAGGACTATATGCGAATGAAAACTCACACCCCAGAAGTGTGAGACTCAAATAGCCTCGGCTATCACTTCCTTTTGACGGCCGTGATGGTCAAGCGGATTAAGGCGCCCTGTAGTTACCAGTTGCGTTGCTTCTGGGAGTATGGGTTCGAGTCACTTCTGGGGTGTGAGTTTTCATTCGCATATAGTCCTGGGGACCATTCAGGCTTGTTTGCATTTGTGTTCCTCACGTGTGCCGCAAAGAATGAGGTGATTTGGTGAAATGCTATGCCCAAGATTACCATCCGAGTTGCCGTCGGGGAAGTGGCTCAAATAGCCTCGGCTATCACTTCCTTTTGACGGCCGTGATGGTCAAGCGGATTAAGGCGCCCTGTAGTTACCAGTTGCGTTGCTTCTGGGAGTATGGGTTCGAGTCACTTCTGGGGTGTGAGTTTTCATTCGCATATAGTCCTGGGGACCATTCAGGCTTGTTTGCATTTGTGTTCCTCACGTGTGCCCCAAAGAATGAGGTGATTTGGTGAAATGCTATGCCCAAGATTACCATCCGAGTTGCCGTCGGGGAAGTGGCTCAAATAGCCTCGGCTATCACTTCCTTTTGACGGCCGTGATGGTCAAGCGGATTAAGGCGCCCTGTAGTTACCAGTTGCGTTGCTTCTGGGAGTATGGGTTCGAGTCACTTCTGGGGTGTGAGTTTTCATTCGCATATAGTCCTGGGGACCATTCAGGCTTGTTCGCATTTGTGTTCCTCACGTGTGCCCCAAAGAATGAGGTGATTTGGTGAAATGCTATGCCCAAGATTACCATCCGAGTTGCCGTCGGGGAAGTGGCTCAAATAGCCTCGGCTATCACTTCCTTTTGACGGCCGTGATGGTCAAGCGGATTAAGGCGCCCTGTAGTTACCAGTTGCGTTGCTTCTGGGAGTATGGGTTCGAGTCACTTCTGGGGTGTGAGTTTTCATTCGCATATAGTCCTGGGGACCATTCAGGCTTGTTCGCATTTGTGTTCCTCACGTGTGCCCCAAAGAATGAGGTGATTTGGTGAAATGCTATGCCCAAGATTACCATCCGAGTTGCCGTCGGGGAAGTGGCTCAAATAGCCTCGGCTATCACTTCCTTTTGACGGCCGTGATGGTCAAGCGGATTAAGGCGCCCTGTAGTTACCAGTTGCGTTGCTTCTGGGAGTATGGGTTCGAGTCACTTCTGGGGTGTGAGTTTTCATTCGCATATAGTCCTGGGGACCATTCAGGCTTGTTCGCATTTGTGTTCCTCACGTGTGCCCCAAAGAATGAGGTGATTTGGTGAAATGCTATGCCCAAGATTACCATCCGAGTTGCCGTCGGGGAAGTGGCTCAAATAGCCTCGGCTATCACTTCCTTTTGACGGCCGTGATGGTCAAGCGGATTAAGGCGCCCTGTAGTTACCAGTTGCGTTGCTTCTGGGAGTATGGGTTCGAGTCACTTCTGGGGTGTGAGTTTTCATTCGCATATAGTCCTGGGGACCATTCAGGCTTGTTCGCATTTGTGTTCCTCACGTGTGCCCCAAAGAATGAGGTGATTTGGTGAAATGCTATGCCCAAGATTACCATCCGAGTTGCCGTCGGGGAAGTGGCTCAAATAGCCTCGGCTATCACTTCCTTTTGACGGCCGTGATGGTCAAGTGGATTAAGGCGCCCTGTAGTTACCAGTTGCGTTGCTTCTGGGAGTATGCGTTCGAGTCACTTCTGGGGTGTGAGTTTTCATTCGCATATAGTCCTGGGGACCATTCAGGCTTGTTCGCATTTGTGTTCCTCACGTGTGCCCCAAAGAATGAGGTGATTTGGTGAAATGCTATGCCCAAGATTACCATCCGAGTTGCCGTCGGGGAAGTGGCTCAAATAGCCTCGGCTATCACTTCCTTTTGACGGCCGTGATGGTCAAGCGGATTAAGGCGCCCTGTAGTTACCAGTTGCGTTGCTTCTGGGAGTATGGGTTCGAGTCACTTCTGGGGTGTGAGTTTTCATTCGCATATAGTCCTGGGGACCATTCAGGCTTGTTCGCATTTGTGTTCCTCACGTGTGCCCCAAAGAATGAGGTGATTTGGTGAAATGCTATGCCCAAGATTACCATCCGAGTTGCCGTCGGGGAAGTGGCTCAAATAGCCTCGGCTATCACTTCCTTTTGACGGCCGTGATGGTCAAGCGGATTAAGGCGCCCTGTAGTTACCAGTTGCGTTGCTTCTGGGAGTATGGGTTCGAGTCACTTCTGGGGTGTGAGTTTTCATTCGCATATAGTCCTGGGGACCATTCAGGCTTGTTCGCATTTGTGTTCCTCACGTGTGCCCCAAAGAATGAGGTGATTTGGTGAAATGCTCTGCCCAAGATTACCATCCGAGTTGCCGTCGGGGAAGTGGCTCAAATAGCCTCGGCTATCACTTCCTTTTGACGGCCGTGATGGTCAAGCGGATTAAGGCGCCCTGTAGTTACCAGTTGCGTTGCTTCTGGGAGTATGGGTTCGAGTCACTTCTGGGGTGTGAGTTTTCATTCGCATATAGTCCTGGGGACCATTCAGGCTTGTTCGCATTTGTGTTCCTCACGTGTGCCCCAAAGAATGAGGTGATTTGGTGAAATGCTATGCCCAAGATTACCATCCGAGTTGCCGTCGGGGAAGTGGCTCAAATAGCCTCGGCTATCACTTCCTTTTGACGGCCGTGATGGTCAAGCGGATTAAGGCGCCCTGTAGTTAACAGTTGCGTTGCTTCTGGGAGTATGGGTTCGAGTCACTTCTGGGGTGTGAGTTTTCATTCGCATATAGTCCTGGGGACCATTCAGGCTTGTTCGCATTTGTGTTCCTCACGTGTGCCCCAAAGAATGAGGTGATTTGGTGAAATGCTATGCCCAAGATTACCATCCGAGTTGCCGTCGGGGAAGTGGCTCAAATAGCCTCGGCTATCACTTCCTTTTGACGGCCGTGATGGTCAAGTGGATTAAGGCGCCCTGTAGTTACCAGTTGCGTTGCTTCTGGGAGTATGGGTTCGAGTCACTTCTGGGGTGTGAGTTTTCATTCGCATATAGTCCTGGGGACCATTCAGGCTTGTTCGCATATATATATATATATATAATTATTAAATATGACCGAAAAAGTAAGATTAATAATTCTAACACGAATTTTCTCAATCTTTCGTACATTTCTTTTCACTGTTGGAGGTAAATCAAAAATCAATTCTCCAAAATTCATTTTTATTTCTAGTCTGACGCGACACGAACGCGTTTCGTAAAACTTATTACATTTTCAAAGACTTTAGTTCACAAATACACAACTGAATAGAACTTACTCATCTCCGATTTTATATCTACATTTGAGTGAGGTGGAAGGGGTGATGGGGCATTAACACAAGACAGAACAAAATGTGGCATTAATAGGGTATTAATTTTATCAACACAAGACAGAACAAGAGTATTAATAGGGTATTTTATATATATATATATATATATATATATATATATATATATATATATATATATATATATATATATATATATTAGGCAATATAAAATATCAATATAAAAGATTGAGAAAATTCGTGTTAGAATTATTAATCTTACTTTTTCGGTCATATTTAATAATATATGTCTACAGGAAAGACTGCTACCAAAATATACTAATATATATATATATATATAATATATATATATATATATATATATATATATATATATATATATATATATATATATATATATATATATATATATATAACAGTGTCAATATATATATAATGTCGTACCTAGTAGCCAGAACGCACTTCTCAGCCTACTATGAAAAGCCCAATTTGCCTAATAAGCCAAGTTTTTCTGAATTAATATATTTTCTCTATTTTTTTTCATATGAAATGATATAGCTACCCATTTCATTATGTATGAGGTCAATTTTTTTTTATTGGAGTTAAAATTAACGTAGATATATGACCGAACCTAACCAACCCTACCTAACCTAACCTAACCTATCTTTATAGGTTAGGTTAGGTTAGGTAGCCGAAAACGTTAGGTTAGGTCAGGTTAGGTAGGTTAGGTAGTCGAAAAACAATTAATTCATGAAAACTTGGCTTATTAGGCAAATCGGCCCTTGCATAGTAGCCAAGTTTTCATGAATTAATTGTTTTTCGACTACCTAACCTACCTAACCTAACCTAACCTAACTTTTTCGGCTACCTAACCTAACCTAACTTTTTCGGCTACCTAACCTAACCTAACCTATAAAGATAGGTTAGGTAGGGTTGGTTAGGTTCGGTCATATATCTACGTTAATTTTAACTCCAATAAAAAAAAATTGACCTCATACATTATGAAATGGGCAGCTTTATCATTTCATAAGAAAAAAATTAGAGAAAATATTTTAATTCAGGAAAACTTGGCTTATTAGGCAAATCGGGCCTTGCATAGTAGGCCGAGAAGTGCGTTCTGGCTACTAGGTACGACATATATATATATATATATATATATATATATATATATATATAATTTTTTTTTATACGCCTGTGGGTGACACATGCTAAAGATCAGAGTTGGGATGTTGAGGGGAAAAGGTGGAGATGGGGGATCTAGGGGCAAGGGTGGGATAGGGAAAGGGATGAGAGGGGGAATAGGGAGAGAGATGAGAGGGGGAGGAGAGAGATGAGATGGGGATGGGGTGAAAGAGATGAGAGAGGGAGGGGGGGAGTATGGGAGAAGGCAAAGGGGAGAGAGACCCGGGACCAGCCGGGTGCCCCCCCTCTATTATACCATATCATAAAGCCACATTATCATGTATCTATTGGCCATATATCACTTGTCCAGAAATAAATATTGTAAAACAGTATTTGTTTTTTTCTAGTCGTAATGCGAGTCAAGAAAGTCGAAAAATAGTCAAGTGGAATGTAGAAGATACTTTCCAGTGGTTAAGAAGAACGGTTGGTGCCACGTTTGATGATTATATGGACAGACTAGCTCACCTTAAGGTAAGTACTGCAAAGTTGGTTGCACTGGACAGTAGTTTAGGAATACACCTTTATATTCAGGTTACACATTAATTTTATTTTTTGTTTATAGCTATGGTATGTGTACAGAATATTTTTGTCTAAGTTTTCACATTATTGTCAAGGTATTATAACCATTAAACATTCTTCCAGTGTTGCTCCCTAAGGCTGCATGCGCTTAGGGGCTTCCTTTCCTAAGCACCCTGTGAGTACTGACCCTGTGACAGGATTATCTTCCCTGGGGTGTTTGGGGAACCTCTTCCCGTAGGGGTTCTTGCTGCTCGGCATTTGCCTCGCCCTTGGGGCCAGCTGGGGCTTGGGGCCCTTGTTTGGCCTTGGGTAGCAAGTGGTGCCATGCTGGTTAGGGCATCAAGGTATTGCGTGACCTGCTTGCTACCTATGTGGCGACCAGTTCCTGTTACCACTGGGGACGGTGTACTTTTGCGGGGTTTTACTTCTCTCTTTATTTTCATTCGCCTGGTAGGGGTCTGCCTGGTGTGGCTGTAGTTCTGCTTGTATTGTTTGGTGGCTCTCTGCTAGGCCCCCATGATTGTACACGTCGCAGGGATTTCAATGTTATCATCTACCCCTTGTTAGCTCTGGGTGTTAACCGGTTAGCGACACCTTGCCCGGGCTTCCTTGTAGTTGTCACCCTATGGGCCCTGAAAAACCCTGTCGGGGCTCGGTGGACCAGTGGGTGTGTCTTTCGGGTTCCAACCCGTCTTGTGCGGTTCGTTGGTTGCCGTGCCTTTGTCTCAGGGTGACAGTTGCCTCTTTTACCTCTGTCATGCTGCCTGTTGGGTCACTGACACCTAGACCCAGAGTCTTGAAAGATGTGCTCTCTGCTTGTTCTCCAGTACTCTTCTGATGTCCTCACTGTTGAGAGTGCAGGCGGCATCCGCGTTGCATGCTCGGTTTAGGTTGCTGCAATGCGCTAGGTTGGTTTCCCACTTGGATGCCCCGGGGCCGCCCCGTTTTGGTTCGGTGTTGTTCTCCCCTTTCCCCTCCCTGTTCCAGGCTCCTGACTGTCTGCTGGTTTCGGGATCTGGGGCGGGGTTTAGCTGGTTCCGAGACTCGGGGGGGGCTTCAGGGCTGCCCCGTTCGGGTTGGGGACAGAGGTTTTCAAACCTGTTCCTCCTGCTGAGGCTTCTGGGTCTTACCAGCGGCCCTTTCTTTACTGCCTTTCCCCTGGACTCTTCTTTTTCTTTAAGTGAAGAGGTGCGTTGAGGACAGCTTTGCCCCAGGGCCTCTGTTGCGGGTTCCCAGGGCTGTGAGTTTTTGCAGTTTCTGTCTGTTTGGGTCTGGGCCCTGGAGTTTGGGCTCAGTGTCCCTGTCTGTTTATGCCTGCTCCCACACTGTGTCCCTCAGTTTTCGATCCGATTTGGCCGTTTCACTGGGGGGTTTTGTCTGGGTGCTGTGCTCTGCCCTTTCTGTGGTGTATTTCCTCCAGCAAATGTGATGGTTTGGGCTCCCCGAGTTAGATTCCAGGTTCCTTTGGGTTCTTTGGTTTTGTTCCGGAGGTTTCTTCCTCTTGGGCCCCCTTTGGGGGATCAGGAGGCTTTTACTTAACTCGTGTGTGACCCGGTACTGCCTTCTGGTGTTCTGGGGTCTTCCTGGCTTGCAGGCTGCTATTTTTGGGTCTTGGCATGAGTTGTGTTCATGCTGGGGCCTTGATTTTTGTTGTCGAGGTTGGTATTTTGGTGTAGTTTTTGTGCTCTCTCGGTGCCTTATTAGTCAAAACCGGCGCAGTGCTCTCTGCCTCCAGTCGGTGGCTTGTCTTTTTCTTTTATGTGTTTATTTATATATATATATATATATATATATATATATATATATATATATATATATATATATATATATATATATATATATATTTATTATATATATATATTATATATGTAATATAATATTATTTATATATATTCTGTAACCACTCGATTATATGGGATTCGAACATCCGGAAAACACCCTTATACGGCCAAAATCGTGACCAGATAAAGTTACAGGCATACCTCAGTTTAAGAGTTTAATGCGTTCCTGGAGACGGCTCGTATTCCGAAGCTAATTTCCCCATAAGAAATAATGGGAAATGAATTAATCCGTTCCTGACTACCCCAAAAACCCCACATCAAACTAAATTTTTATACCTAATTCATCTAAATAAACCTACAAAACTATGTTCAAGTTATTACTTACCTTGCTGTTGAATGCTGTAGGCATATGGAAGATGGTGAGGAGAGGAGAGGAGTTACTGTTTGGAAGGGGAGTCCCCTTCCATTATCACATCAGGCAGTGAGGCCCTTTCTGGTGTGCTCTCCCTGGGACGTTTTATCTGAGTGCCACTAGGTCCTGGTTGAGGCTCACTGCTCGATTTCCTCACCACAAATCTGTCCATGGAAGCTTGCTTTTCCCTTCTTCGCAAGCTCTCTCTGTAGTAAGGCATCACATTGTCATTGAAAAGATTAAGACAACGGCCTACTACAGCTTTCTCTGGGTGAGTCTTTTCAACAATTATTTGAATCTCTTCCCACATCTGACACACCTTCTTAATTACTGCAGAAGGGACATTCGCTACTGCCTCCTCCTCCTCCACTGTAGAATCATCCGCTGCGTTGTCTTGCTGTTCCTGTTGAAGGGCTTGGAGTTTTTCGGTGGTCAGTTCTTCGTTGTATTCTTCCACCAACTCCTCCACATCATCACCATCCAATTCCAAGCCCATTTGCTGGCCTAGAGTAACTATTTCCTCAACAGTAGGCGCATCATTTCCAGGCTCAAACCCCTCAAAGTCTAGTTCTCTCACACTTTCAGGCCACAATTTTCTCCAGCCAGAGATCAGGGTTCTTTGAGTCACTTCTTGCCAGGCTTTGTCAACGAGTTTTAAAGCACTACAAATGTTAAAATGGTGTTTCCAGAACTCTTTGAGGGTGAGTTGTGTGGCTTCAGTCACTTCAAAACATTTCCGGAAAAGTGCCCTTTCATAACGTTTCTTAAAATTCGCTATGATTTTCTGGTCCATAGGCTGAATTAGAGGAGTGGTGTTAGGAGGAAGGAATTTAACTGTGAGGAATTTATTGTATCTGGGCAACAAATCATCTTCCAAGCCTGGAGGATGAGCAGGAGCATTGTCGAGGAGAAGCACGGCTTTGAGTGGCAAATGTTTCACCTGCAGATATTTTTCTATGGCAGGGCACAGCACTTCATTCACCCACTCCGAAAAAATAAGCCTAGTCACCCATGCTTTTTTATTAGCCTTCCACATCACACACAAACACATCACCCCAAACATACCAGCGATACAAAGATGCGAGAAACAACTACACAGCAGTGAGGAGAGAGGCAGAAAGAAATTTTGAAAAAGGTATTGCAGACAAATGTAAAACAGAACCAGGTCTATTCTATAAATTCATAAACAACAAATTGCAGGTAAAGGATAATATTCAGAGGTTGAAAATGGGAAATAGATTCACGGAAGATGAAAAGGAAATGTGTGAAACACTAAACGAAAAGTTCCAAAGTGTGTTTGTACAAAATGAAATTTTTAGGGAACCAGACACAATAAGAATTCCAGAGAACAACATAGAGCACATAGAGGCGTCCAGAGACGAAGTGGAAAAAATGCTCAAGGAGCTAAGTAAGAACAAAGCAGTTGGTCCAGATGGAGTTTCACCATGGGTTCTGAGAGAATGTGCACCTGAGCTCAGCATTCCACTTCAACTGATTTTTCAGGCATCCCTGTGTACAGGAGCTGTAGCTGATGCGTGGAAAAAGGCTAACATAATTCCAATGTACAAAAGTGGCAGCAGGGAAGACCCCCTTAATTATAGACCTGTATCATTGACAAGTGTAATAGTCAAAATATTGGAAAAACTAATCAAAACTAAATGGGTAGAACACCTGGAGAGAAATGATATAATATCAGACAGACAGTATGGTTTTCGATCTGGAAGATCCTGTGTATCGAATTTACTCAGTTTCTATGATCGAGCCACAGAGATATTACAGGAAAGAGATGGTTGGGTTGATTGCATCTATCTGGGCCTAAAAAAGGCTTTCGACAGAGTTCCACATAAGAGGTTGTTCTGGAAACTGGAAAATATTGGAGGGGTGACAGGTAAGCTTCTATCATGGATGAAAAATTTTCTGACTGATAGAAAAATGAGGGCTGTGATCAGAGGCAATGTATCGGACTGGAGAAATGTCACAAGTGGAGTACCACAGGGTTCAGTTCTTGCACCAGTGATGTTTATTGTCTACATAAATGATCTACCAGTTGGTATACAGAATTATATGAACATGTTTGCTGATGATGCTAAGATAATAGGAAGGATAAGAAACTTAGATGATTGTCATGCCCTTCAAGAAGACCTGGACAAAATAAGTACATGGAGCGCCACTTGGCAAATGGAATTTAATGTTAATAAATGCCATGTTATGGAATGTGGAATAGGAGAACATAGACCCCACACAACCTATATATTATGTGAGAAATCTTTAAAGAATTCTGATAAAGAAAGAGATCTAGGGGTGGTTCTAGATAGAAAACTATCACCTGAGGACCACATAAAGAATATTGTGCGAGGAGCCTATGCCACGCTTTCTAACTTCAGAATTGCTTTTAAATACATGGATGGCGATATACTAAAGAAATTGTTCACGACTTTTGTTAGGCCAAAGCTAGAATATGCAGCAGTTGTGTGGTGCCCATATCTTAAGAAGCACATCAACAAACTGGAAAAGGTGCAAAGACATGCTACTAAGTGGCTCCCAGAATTGAAGGGCAAGAGCTACGAGGAGAGGTTAGAGGCATTAAATATGCCAAAACTAGAAGACAGAAGAAAAAGAGGTGATATGATCACTACATACAAAATAGTAACAGGAATTGATAAAATCGATAGGGAAGATTTCTTGAGACCTGGAACGTTAAGAACAAGAGGTCATAGATACAAACTAGCTAAACACAGATGCCGAAGAAATATAAGAAA